TTAGAGATTTTTACGCAAACAAATTGTTATGCTTGCCAATTTCAAGAACTAAATCGTTACTAGGCGATTTGTTTGTTCGTTTTCATGACTTTTATTTATTTAGTTAGTTGAGATTAAAGCTTCATACGATAAATATGCTTAACCCTGATTTTTGTGTTACGTTCAATAAACACATTTTTTCTCTTTTTTAATCAGTTGCTATATTTATTGTGTGATTGCGAGGATATGCACGTGTGAGCTGTTAAAATCTTTTTTTAAAAGAAGTATTATTAAATGAAAACTTTGAGGTAAATCTAATTGATTTTAAGCCATTTAAGTTACGAATGAATGTAATACACGATAATGTATCCTAATTATTCTCCATTAGCTATAATTTATGCAAACTAAGATTGAAAAGTATTTTTATCAATATTTTAACTTATTTTATTCAACGTTTTTAGATATTGATTTCTAGAAGATATGATGGTATCTAATTCAAGTTCTCTCGCTCTCTTAAACTGATGTGTTATTAAGCTATATGTATATTAAGCAGTATGTATTATTAATTTTTTTTTTCATTTTGAAATAGAAGAAAACTTAATAGAAAAGATTCACTTTTACATGATTTTCAAATTGTTCACATAGTTATATTATTTTTATATATTTAAGTAAGTACATTTTTTGTACTCTACTGTAAACTACTTCATTAAAATTAGTGTCCCTAAAACCATTAACTAACTTCAAAAAGACTACTTTCAGAGTTGTACGGTTTCTAGACTTCTGTAAAAGCTATGAAAGCTCGTGTTGCTTGCTACAAAATATTCTTAAAGTATAGAATGTAATATGGTTAAGAAGTATGGATTACTGAAGTCAAGAATTTGTAATATAATCTTAAAAATAGAAATAAATATTTTCTTATTTTTATTATAATTTGTTTCATTAAAGTAATTTGTTTCAGACAAGTGATAAGAAAAATTTGCTCTCGGTAACTCAAGAAATAGAACACTGGCATTCCTCGGGGAAGAGAGTGTCGGAGTCAATACCCAACTCAGGTTCCTGCTGAGAAATATCTATTAAAAACCATTGACAAGAAATCAATGAATTTTAATTCTCGATCAGAGTAGTAATAATGATCAAATATAGTCGATACGTCGAGTTTTTGAAATCTAATGATTATTATATATTATATATTGACACAAAAATATCAGCTTTTTCTATTCTATTATTTTTTTATTTTTCATTAAGTAATTGTTATTAACCAATTCAAATTGACTTACAAATTTGTCATATCGATCAGAATTCGAACCTATGACCCTGACATTGCTAGTCAAGGGTTTATCCATTGAGCCGTAAGCGCTTTTTTCCAATCCGTGTTAGAATTTTATACATTTACGGAAAAGTTTTATTATGTACTTTTATAATCAATTATATATATCATTATAATCAATATACATAACACTTATATTTTTACTAGACATAGTTCTTTGACAGTTATCTAATTCAAATAGATTTTAATGATTATTGAATATTGATAAATAAATTTTGAAATTTAATCATTTTTAATTATCACTAATCGCACTTGATACGAAGGATGGCTATCTAATATTTTTTAAATCATTTCAATACTTTTTAGCGGAATACAATATTTAATTAGATTCAATTGAACAGATTTACATACATTTTAATGATTTTCAATAAATAAAATCGTAAATTACATGTAATTTTTAATATATTCCTACTGAAAAAGTTCCATTGATCTCAATACAAAATCATTCATATTCAATAGTAATCAATCATTTTTAATAAAATGAATAGATCAATAGTTGAGTGACAGTGGGAAATCAATCAATTTCAACAGTTACTAATGGTAATCGTAATAAATAGTAAAAATTACCATTAATCTTAATCATAATGAATCATTTTGAATAATATTTTTAATAAAAAATAATTCATCAATATTTTATAACTTTTTAAAGATTTTTTACCTAGTTAAAGCATTTCTTGTAAAAAAACAAGATTCGTTTTTCAATGCGAATACTTAAAACAATAAGCGAGATAGAAAAAAAATCTAGACAGAAAAAAGATGTAGTGTTATCTATAGAACAAAGATCTGTAGTTCAAATTTGGTTTTGAAAAAAAAAAAAATTGTTTTCGATTATTTAGGGTGTTAATGCATTGTTTTTAATTTTCACTAAAGTGTAGCCAATGAAATACTTGCAAAACTATGTTTATTTTGTTGTTCTCAAATAATTAATAATTAAAATTACTATTTTTTACTTGAAAGTTACTTTACTTTACTAAAAAGAAATAAAAAAGTTAGTTAATATTAAAATATCATACATTGTTTTTTATATTTAGATTAATGAATCTTATTCAATGAAATGTTTATTGCAGTATATTACTAAACATAAGTCGAAAGAAAAGTAGATTACGTTTATATGGATTGTTTATAAATATGGATATACAAAGTAAATGAATTATTATCGTTGAATAAGTTAGTAGTTTGTTTATTGGCAATCAGTGCGGACCAATGATATCATTATAATCAAAATGATCAAAAAGAAATATTAGTAGTCAAACTGTTGACTGCAATATAAAAAAGTTTAAAGAAACTGACAGTGTAGAAAATAGACTAACTAGAAAATATTTAAGATAAACTACTGGTTAAGAAGAAATGTACATTGTTAATAATAGTTTACGAAATAAAAAATTATGTGTGCCAGATTTAGTTGCTCAAATTAATAAATCGTTATAATCAACTGCAAATAATAGTTACTAATATTTTATACCAATAGATAATTGGTGATAACTGTTATTTACAGTTATTTATAGTTATTTGTTTCTATTATTTCTTAAAATTAATGTATTTTGGTGAATAAAAATGTAAATAATTATTAGTAACTGTAAAAAACTGTTATTATTTAATAACATTATTTAACAGAAAATCTGACGTTTATAAACGGCTCTAAATTTTAAATAACTGAGTAAATATTACTAACTGATGATTTCTGTTTATTAAAATTTTATGCATAAATTATTTTTGATAGGGCGTTTCTCACTTACCAAATAATATTGAAATTCAATAGTGTAATGAAAAATTACCAATACAGAGTATTTTATTATGTAATTTATTTATTTTTATTTTATTTATTTTATTTATTATTATTGCAAAACATTCAATTCTGCTTAATATTATTTAAAATAATTGACAATTATTAAAAATCATTTCAACTGAATTAATACTTTAATTCAATAAAAATCATTCACACTATGTGTTGAATACAATTACTTTAATTAAATCGCTGTTCATTCGAGTGCAAAGCCAAATCTTTTAAATTGTTATCTTTACATATTATAATATGTAAATTTTTTTAAAAATATTATTATTAAAGCAACCATTAGTAATTATAAAATACAATTATATTAAATACGATTAGCTGTGGCTCTCTCATTCATCATTAGTTGAAATCAATAAGGAGCTGTTTGATAAAGTGCTATGGGATGTACATTCATATCGACAGTAAACTGTTTGATTAAATAGTATTGAGAAATTTTTGTTTTAAAATCTTTTATAACTTATCAAGTACGATTCATAAAAATACTATTAAATTGTTTTTTATTAAAATTATTATTTAACCGATTCATTATGATTAAAATGAATGGTTATTTGGACTATTTATTACGAATACCATTTGTCACCATTGATAATGATGGATTTCTAGTCGTCACTTAACTATTGATCTACTCATTTTATTAAAATTTTATTGATTACTCTTCAATATTAATTATTTTGAATGAGCAGCACCAATGGCACTTTTTTAGCAGGGGGTATCACTTCACTTCACTAGTATATTTTGGTAAGAAAACATTATTATAAATATTTCTCACAGTAAGCGAGAGAGCTAGCTATTATTTCTGCCTGGTAACTAACTGTTGCAACCACTTTGGTCGAAGATTATCATATCATCAAATAGTTATACAAAACTTAATCTTCAAATTGCTACAAAAAAATCATTATAAGATTGAACGAATGAATGTAAATACATCCGGTTTACACGTGACAATATCGTGCAAGTATTTTTTATAGAAAGTTTATTTGTGCTAGTTAATTACAGTATTTTTCCATAAGACGATTTGGAATGGATGTCGGTTAAGTAATTATGGAGCTGATGGATTATAAAAAAAAATTATTTGTATAGTTCAAAAGATCTATATGTTAATATAATGTAATTTTCAGATGTTATGTATAAGTTGGTTATATAAATTCGAATAGTAATAAAATCACTCAAGTCATTAATTTGTAATAATCAGGTACGTAATATGATTTAGCTTAATATGAAGTTTTGAAAATTAATTACATGGACAAATGATTTACTACGTATTATTTAGGAATAATAATGATTATACCTAAAGTGATGTTATTGTACGTTATTTTTCTGTATTTGTCTGTATTTTTCGGTAACTTCATCGGAGATTGCCAATCTCAATGAAATTGGATAATTTTATTTAACGTAGCGTTAGCGTTCTATATTAGATCCAATGGAAACTGCCGGAGGTGGGAATTGAACCTGTTCAGCCGACATATACTATGTCAACTAAGTTACCGAATAGTACAAGTTCAAATGAACATATAATACCATAAGTATCGCATATTATAGTTAAGCATCTAGTATAATTATAACTCTGAATGTACTTGTTTTTAAAACCATGTCCCATCAACAGCTAATTATAGCATGAATATTCAAGATTTACTAGAAAGAAGTACTAAAGATGTAAGTGATTGTAAAAAAGATGATTATAAATTTTCTAATTCTTATAGTTAAACGAATTCTAAAATTTACAAATTTCTGCTAACTAGTTGTAATCTTAAAAATTATTCAACGGTACGAATGAAGAGATTTTTATATTCATTTTATAACTTTATGTATGACCGAAACTATTGTAAAACATTCAATAAATATAGACAAGTAAACTCAATAAACATTAGAAGATAGTTCAGTAAATAATCTTAGAATACTTACACAGATTTTGCAACTACAGGCGGCACTTCAATTTTACTTAAAAGAGAGTCCAAGGCCAGTGCTATCACTTCATTCTGAAAAAGTACACGTATCATTATTACATTATTGTAACGAACCTTAATAATTATTAAAGAAAAGCATATTTTTCTAAATATTTTTATAATTATGCGCACGTATCAACATCCGCAGATTATCTTTCAAAGAACCATCCAACGACATTTAAATAAGATATTGCAATGTTAAGATAGGTTATTGTAACTTATAAAACAGTACTCTGTTGTTTGTGCGATGATGCTTGTTTTATAATTATGATTTCAGATCATCGTATCTCAAGTCATAAAATTTATTTCCAATCATATTTAGCCTTGCGTAAGTTGATTCTTTAGGTTCCAGGTTTAATGACGTAGTCGCTGAAAACGAATAATTTTGAAAACGCGAAGGATAATCTAATAATGAAAAGTTTTTTAACACGTATTTCACTTGAAATATTTGTAAAATGGCAAACGAAATCTCGACATAGTATGTGGCGAAATTGGATGGAGTTTTTTGAGCTGGGAATTTCAAATGAAAACCTTATTTGTGAATAACATAATCGACGACGTTGTGAGCAGTGCAAGCGAACGATGTCAGATAATCAAGCTTTACCTTGTATCTCATATCATCGACTATGAAGTACTCTCAGTTGAAGAATTTACTTGGGCATTCTACTACGAAGAACATGTGGGACAATTTGATTCACGTTTTCGAACAAAAATCGGTGTCGAACTAAGTACTGCTCATGTTAGCGATTCCACGCATATTGAATGCATCCTTCGAATTCGATAGTGAAACACATTACAAAAGTGCAGAATATGTCGATATAACTGCTGCATGTCTAAAAAAACTTGTTATGGCTGTTACGGCTAAAATTCTCAAAGGTACGTCGGAAAAATTAAATTTATATTTTCATACTGCTTGAAATAACGATGATTCGACTTGTTAGACTAAAATACTTAAGGTGGCGATTAATTCAAGATGAAAACAGGTTTAATTAATGTCAGTAATGAAGAAGTAATCGCGCCACCTACTGTGGTTAATTTGACTGAATATCAACTATAATACTGTTAGTGAAAAAAAAATGATAAAAATAAAGGCATCAAGAAAGACGTGAAAGCCATCGAGTGATTGAAATACCGCGAGAAAAGGAATTTCGCTTTAAAATGCCTAAATTAGTAAAAAGTAAACTGAAAAGATAAAAACATGACATAAGGAAGCTAATGTTTCGCAAATTTGCCACGTGATTATGCTTTCACAATTAACAGAATGTTAAGTCTATAGTTAAAATGTTTGAAACCTTAAAAACCCAACCAACCAAAGTGGTTAGTCCCGTTAATCAAAATCTAAACGATGTTTGTGTTAATAATTGTCGTGCGCTTTCTCTTCTTTTCTACGGTCGCCTCTTTCTCTCTCTCTTTCTCTCTCTCTCTCTCTCTTTCGCAGGACTTCGGGTGGGCGCACGTATTACAGCTGAATCGGCGCCTGGGTTTTCGAGATAGTTATCTGCCACACGCGTAGTACTGCGCTCTCGCTTGGAGTTTTTCAAAACATGTTGACCAGCTGCAGTCAAACGAGCATGGGCCAACCCGGAACCAACGGCCCAATTGAGATGCGATCTTTTTAACTCTTATCGCTTGTGGCGAAGAGAAGAATGGATGATCGCATAGCTCTTGAAGGAAGAGAAGCGATCCGAGTTTTCAGTTTGAAGTTGACTATCGTGCAACTCTCATCATCTACCCTAGCCTACTCGTTCAAGTAGTACGTAAATTCGCTGTTCTATCAGCACCAACTGTTTTCTTGCGGTCTCTGCGTCGGTGCCCAAACCACGCGGCTGCAGGGGAACGCGTCCAGTACGCCTTTCCGGGAGACCCTCTCCAACGCGGCTATGACGCCCATACTCCACGCGGTGGCAAGGGCTGAACCCGTTCTCGAGACGTCGACAGGACGTTGTGGACAGATCAAGACGGTCTCTCACCTTTAGCCCGGCTACTACATGCGACCGTAAGTAAGCAAGAGCTTTCCGCGCCTGTAATCGCGCCTTCGACCCACATACACGACCGTTAACCTGCTCTGTACGACGTTCCCCGCACTTTCGCGAAATTGTAGCGAAAAATTGTTGGCGACTTATTATCTTGTATGTGACTAGACCTCGGCTTTTTCCCATACCAGTACTGGATTTTTATGCTTTGGTCTAGTCACAACTAAATTTCACTCAAATAAACACTAAATATACATATTTATATCTAGTCATAGCCTTCTTCCATAGAGAGAGCGAGAGAGGCGGATAAAATTTGGGTGCAGGGGTGAGCGATGAAATAGACTCAGAGATATTACACACTTATCTATTTTGAACCTTTAATAGGCTAATAAATTAATATAATAGATAAATACACAAAAGGATAAACGAAGTAAAAATAAAAATAAAAAAGTAAAGTTAAAACCCTGAAATTCTCCGGGATAAAAAAACTCTGCGCTAACAAGAGGAACAAGCCATCAATTTAGGGTTCACAAAGAGGCTTACAATGATAATACACTTAGTGAGTGCCTATTACTAACTTTAAGAGGCTCGCTTAGCCTTCACAAATTAGGGGTAGAATGGCCATTCGTACGACAACGCTTACAAGCTCGACGCGTCTTTTTTTGTAGGGTGTATCCCAGGCTTAGCATGATGCAGTCAGCGGTCCCTTGATATGGAGAGATCCGATGCTGCTGAGAGGAAGCCACCCCACAGGATACGGTGTATCCTCAGCTAGATAGGTCACTCCTGGTCCTAGCCCTTTTGCATCGCTGGTGTCCTTACGTAGAGGTCACGCAACAAAATTATTCGACACGCTCACGAAATGTCGTCGATCGCACGACAAGCACCCTTACACTTGCAGAAGCGAGACTGAAGTCGAGAACGAGTAGACAGAGCCCAGAGCGCTTCTTTATGACCCGAACGTTTCTGCGGAACTGAACTCTCTTCCTTTCGCGCCTCAACTCCCTTTTAGCAAAAGGGGTAGCTTCTCATCTTGGGCTCACGTGGCAACAGTTTATGAGTTATGTAAAAGAAAAGGGATAATCGTTTTATTATCTGTGAAAGCGCGTTCGTAATCACTTACATATGGAGCGCATGCGGCGCGAACACTAAGATTTTTAAGAAATATTCACTTCGTATGCGCTCCAGGTGTTGACAAATGTGAGCGCAATTTCGTATTTTAGTTTAGAAGATGCGGTGCGGCGCTCGAGCGGTCGGCGTTTGTGTTTTTCCCGTTCGTGTCGACATGACTTGTCCGTTGCCACGCGCATGTGTCTAACACGAGGCGCTCTTTGGGGCAGTATTGGGCGATGGCCCCTCTCAGCTTAAGAAGTGATACGGACTCGCGTTTCATTTACACCGAAGGTACATATACAGTTTGAGGGCTGTTGGCAACGGATGAAGGGAGTGCGCGTGTTCGATGGCACGTGGAGCATAGAATGTGCGAATAAAGTTTTTTATGCCGGCTGAATTTCAGGGTCTTAGTTTTATTTTATTTTATATTAAATTTATTTACATTTATTGTTTCATTAAAGAGTCAAGTTTCTATTAAAAATGGTAGTGTTCACATTTAATTGTTCACATCTGCGCCTCATCCTGTCACTAAAAATTTTCCAAGGCAGTTTCTACTTAACTTAATCCTATTCCTTTATTTTCTTTTCTCGAATTAATGTGCTTAAATTTATCACCTAATATATAACAATATTAACATCATTTTTTACCAACATTTTCTTATAAATTATTTTTTAGTAATCAAACGTTAAGTTTACTTTTTCTTTCGTTTCTGTTTTATGTATCATGAAATACGTTACAAAGAAATTTTTTATTTCAATAAGCAATGTGGAATATCAATATATCGTATATATTTTACACATATGAAACAAATCATGAACAAACTTTTTATAGACTAGTAACGGAAGATGCACACATTGATTCACATATTTAATATAAATTATTTTTTTTAAAGGTGAATTTTTTAATTTTTTTACGAAACATATATCACAGTGGAAAAATACGGTTCAGTATAACAGTTTCGCGTATTTCAAACTCATGATTTATCATATCGAAGACTGATAAATAACCTTCTAATTCTTTTCAATTATGCAGGTCAAATTACTATTGAGCGTTTATTCTACTGTTCGAATAAAGATTGTTGCATTACAATATTTATTTTAATCTTATATATTTAAATATCAGATTTTCACTTAGTAATAGAAAATAATCAGAACAATCCCAAAATATAGCCTCTTGCTTTTACGAAAAGATTTATTCGTTCTAGTTTCACAAAGTGAAAATGAAAATACTCAGCACTTCAGCTTATTTGTTTCTACTTTCATTATCTTAAAAATAACCGTATGAATTATAATCATATGAATTTTTACTACTAAAATATCAACTCGAAACTATACATTTACTCTTATTTTCCGCCACATAAGTGTGTGTGTGTGTATGTAGCAATAATGCGGAGTCAACTTTAATAGAAATTTTTTTTCGAATGCATAACATTATATGCAGAAAGCGAATTCTATAAACATTTAATCGTTTGAAGCTAACACGTACATTCATCTATTTTTTTACTTGACAAACTATATCGATATGTTTCGTATAAAACTGTAACAATTCTGAAAATAATACCATTCTTTATGGCCTCCACCTTGTTCATTTGTCGAATGTTTATGCGTAATTCTGTTTTTCTAAACTTTGGAATACATAAAAAAGATACTGACTTGTTTTTCTTCAATTAATACAGAGTAAGTAATACAAAGAAGAATATATGGCTCGGGAGTTGATCAATATAGCTTACAATATTCATGATTTTATATACGGCTTTTTAAGTCAAAGCACATAGCGGGATATTTGCCTTTCATTGCTTCCCAACTACCAAAAATGTATATAAATCGCACCATGTTTCATTAAATTGAGTTAAATGCATTTCAAACCTATATAAATTTAGCATGCTCAATTAATTTTCGTATTTATTTCACTTTCCAATAGTAAATTTCGATACTAGTAGGCGAAAGTGATTTAAGCCTTGTGGACGTTTGCACCTGAGTAAAGCGCGGGTGAAATCATTTTCTTGCACACGTATCTAACTTTATTTTTCGATATGTCGTGTGCGAGACGAGATTTGAAACGCGCTTGCTTTCCCGGACGTGTGTAAATCTAGGCCTCGGGCATGGATTGTGGCAGAAGTTATAAAAAAAATTGGAAAGCAAAAAAAGCAAAAAAAAAAGAGATATAAAAAATATTATTATCGGACATTGGCACTCTGGCAGCTTGCATTCAATTAGTAGTGAATAATAACTTATATCTATTAACATTCAATTTTTTCACATTTCAAAATCGGTCACTAAGACAAACCAAGTGTAAGAGTATTTAATTCCTATTGCAAAATAGTTACTAAATTTACAATATCATGGCTCAAAGTAATATTTAAAAAAAACCATTTTTAACAGTTACAAAATTAAATTTAGATTATCAATGAATAAATTGTATGATTAGTCGGGGTGTCAAACTCAACTTACGGGAGCTCATCCCAAAATGCAGTTCTTAAATTTCGAAAAAGTTTATACGAGACAGGCATCTCATTCCCGCATACATGTTGTAAAGTGCTTTTCGGTGCAACGAGGGTAAAGAAAAATTCTAAGTTTGTTCAGACGTGCGCAAAGTCGTATTTTTGCTTTTTTTTGTATGTTTTGTCTTTTCATCTTTGTTTGTATAGATAATATTATAAACAGAGTATGTTTCTTTTAGTCGTATTTTTTCAATACACGAAGATGTCATGTACATCATGAAAAATTACGTTGCTTTCAAATTTACCAACCAAATCTTCTGTAAAATGTTTTTATCAAAATCTTGTCTGATATTTTTATGAAAATTCTTTCTAGCCTAATCATGCAACTATTAACATTTTTGAACAATTTGTTTTTATCGAAAGAAATTAGATTTTAGATTCTATTTGGTATAATTATAAAAAATTTTTGATGCTTATAGAACAAGCTATTTCCATTAAAATAAACATATATTTTCTTATTTGATGTTAATTATCTGCAGCTAGCAGAACAATTTACTATTTTACTTTATAAACATGGCTTCTCATATATTTTCACGCATAGAAAGAGCTTCTAAAATTATTGCCAAATCAGTGATCCATCCACGGAATACTTTCCTTGTGAAAGAATGAATTTGTCGTATCAAATTTATATAGTTCTCCTATATTAAAATCAGGCATTTTGACCTTATCTAAAATTGGCTATAGTGATTATTCAGAAACACCATAGTACCAAAATATGCCTTTTTTAGCTCCATTTTCTGTTTTCCTTCATTTCTACTAATACGAGTTCAGTCACTGTCTGGGTAACTTATGGGAGAATCTCTCATATTCAGATAATATGAATAGTTCAAAGCAAAGGTAGCCTTGCTAATGAATAGGGGTAAGATTAAAATCGTAGCTAAGACGGAGTAATACTTTTACTTGTAATACTTTTACTTTAGTAAATTTTCAAAACATATAGCCTAATGTTATTTGGTATCATCATTTTTGAGTTGAATTTTTTTTTATACCAACCAAATATGGTGAGTAAAGTAGGACAAGGACTCACTAAGTTTGAACAAACATAGATGTTTTCGTTTATTTTGAATTTAAGTTCTATATATAAGCCCATAGATAATGAAAATATTTATTGTTTTTTTTTCATTTAAGTTTTTTTACGTAAGATATCATTTTAGTTAAATTGAATGAAAATTCACTATCAAGTTTTCTTTTACGCGCTGTTTTAGTGAGAGGTTATTTATACAGTGCGAAATGACGGTTATATCTATATAGGTTGAGCTCGTATTCTTACAAAAGTGAATCGATAGAAAAATTAAAGAAGTTACAATCAGTCTATTACACTCACAATACATTTTTTAATAGAAATGTCTACTTCATTAATATTATTTATTATTATTTATTTTTGAGTTACATATGTATATTACCAGAAGATACTTGTAAATGGCTTGAATATATCAAAAAGATCTCATGGCATATTTGTTATAATCGTTCAAAAATATGAAAATATACAATGAAAGTTCAATTGAATTTATAAAGGTTCTTGCTGGAAAAATATATAATAATTAAATTTATTTCCTCTTGTTATGAGAGAATAATTTTGTTACAAAAGGAAATCATATTTTAGCCACAATTATTAGAAATCCTTTAATTCCAAGATGATTCATTTTGTAGTAAGAAAACATTATCAGTGTAAATAATGAAGAATTTTTAGATATAGAAATACAAGAAAATCTAAAATATTCTACAATATTTTATAAAATTGATGTTCAAGTAGTTAAAACGACACTTTTGTACCAAGTATTCGTGTCTATTTTCTGTCTTTAAGAAACTTCGGAGAGCAACGAATATACTTTTCTTTTCTATTTTTCAGCGACAATGTTTGTTTTTCTTAAATCCGCATAAAAAGAGCAACCAATAAAGTTTATTACTTCGAAGTGAAAGGGTCGGGCTCGGTTTATTACCAAGATACATCTAAGCAGCGACTCGCCTGCTTGCTATAAGTGTGTTGTCTTAGAATTTTATTGAGATCTTCTTTTATTCTTGAAGAATGGACACGAGACAAGAAAAAGTCGCTGTTGTATCGTTCTCGTAACCAAAGAATGAAGTCTGCATTAGATGGATATGCAAATTTATTTATTTAATACAAGGGAAAAATACAATTTCCAAAGATTTTTTTAAGAGAATGAAAAACACTTATGTCAATGAAAGGAACAATAAATTTCAGAAACCAAATAATTTTGAAAAAATTTTACAAAGTATTTTTAAGAAAATTAACTAGTTTTTAACATGGGCAATAAAAAGTTTTCTTTATTAGAGAGCGGGGGATCTTTAGTCCCTTTAAGCGAGTGTTAAATAGTGAAAATTGAATGTTTCATTTGTTGCTCTATAACCGTTCTGACATAAATATCGTCATGAAACTGTTTTCGTTTCAAACTAGTTGGAATAAACTTTAATTTTCTTAATTATAAGTTTCAAAATCTAAAGTATTTCTATGCCTCTTTACATCATTGCGTATATACATATCAGTTTACTTATGAAATAGATTTTGCGCCGTGTACAAATATAAACGTCAGAGTGAATGAGAATATTCTAGAAATACTTTCTTTGTTGATGTCGATATTCTGAAATGCAAAAAAAGAACAATCTTATTTGAAAAAGTACTCCATCTTCGAGCCCAGGGGTTAACGAAAAAATTAAGTCTTTAAAAAATGTTTTTCATTTATTCTGTTATTCCAAATAATGTACGGCGCTAAAGGAATGTCATAAATAACATTATATACACACGATTAGTTTGTGGGCTAATATCAACCGATTTAAGATAAAAAAATTTCATACGGCATACTGATATATTTATTAGAACGATTTAACACACCAATAAAGAAAAGTTTAAGCAAAATAATAATAAGAATAATAAATATAAGATAAAATGAGGAATATAATGGTATAATTATTTGAAAATTTCTTGTACTAACTTAAAACTATTGAGATTAAAATCAAAGATGGTATTATTCAAATAAGAAATATTAATATTTGTATTTTCTTTCCATAACTTAATGTGCTTATTTGGAGGAATTCGGCAGGTTCTTGTTCCTGAGAAGAAGTTGATTTTAGTTTTATAATCAATAGAATAATTTTAGAAAGACGATGATGGTCAAAATAACTAACTCGTAGTCTGTACGTTGATTATTTTTTCCAAGAAATTGAAAAATATCGATATGTTATTATGCATAGTTAATTAAAATTTGATTAATAAATAATAATTCGCAGAAGGAATTCTCATAAGCTGAGGGAATTTTCCATTAAATACAGTTGTAATAGAATTATTTTGCTTGACAAAGAACTATTCTTGAAACAAGCAAACCTCGGTTTATAGTAAGAGGATTTTCTCAAAATGAAATTTTTCTTAGTATGAAGGTCACTCATTCCTAGTGTAATTTAGAAAAGTCGTAATTATTCAAGGACATGTTACGTTTTCTTGCGTTTAATCTTGAAATAAGTAGTATATTCAGTAAATGGTCAGACGTAGAATTATTCGGTTCATGTAATTTATGTGACTCGAATGAATGTGCAATAAACCGACGATATAATTATAAAAATTCGCTTGGGCTATTGTGGCACGTTAACGTGGGATGAGCTTATATTGAATGTGGTCAGTGAGCATTGCATCGAAAGTTAAGCAGTGCACGCAGTAGGGGATCGATTGTTGAGAGTAAAAGATATCTGGGCGTGTTACCGATGGATTGGTGAGCATGAGAACGGCTGCCTTGAGGTGCTTGAGATTTAGCGTCTGGTTGTCTTCCGACTCGTCGATCTCCTCGCCGAGCAGCGAGGAGGTGATCTGTACCGAGGCCTGCCGGCACGGCTTGAGCTTACTGTCGTCCTTGTTGTGGTGCTGCGGCTGCCTGCTGGATATGGCCCCGGTGGCGTCATAGTTGGTCCCGTCATCTTGGTCGGTGCTGCCGAGGCGTGCCAGTTGCGAGAACGGACAAGTCATCTCGTGGTTAGCTTGGCTTAGCGTGATCTAGCTCAACTCAGAGCACGTGCTCGGCGAGTGGGCGCGAGCTGCACAGCGACAGCTTGCTCATCGATGCCACGCTGCACGACGAGCGTGGCGAATTGTCTACTGGCGGGCTTGTGCCAGAGCGAACGTCAAATCAGCGAAGGTTCAGAAGAAGGCTCGCGGAGTAGGCTTCAGGAGGCGAGGCCGGTCACCATCGACGGGCCAGGGGGCAGAGAGCGCTGTCGAGCGCGAGCGACCATTCATTGGAGTGGATCGGATGGCGGAACACGTCCACGTGCGACGAGAACTGCACGCCACCGACGCCACGCGCCGCTTTGACTCCCGGTCGTCGGAAGCTCGCTACTGCATTAACGCTCGTGTTAGCTTGCTGCACAGTGTTTCCCCTTATGCTCTATGTTTTCATAGCGAAGGCGAGGCTTCGTTTGCAAGCCACCTCTCCTCCCTATTGTCCGACTGTCCTTTCTCTCGGGGCCGCTGCTGCTTCTCAGTGTCGCGCGTCTGCTGCGTTTTTACGCGAGCGCAATCGAACGTAGTGCTGGCGTGTCGGAGCGCACAGCGCCATACTGCCCTCGAGAATTGAGCGGGTCGCAGTCTGCTTGCATTCTCTCTCTCCCTCTCGCCATCTCTCGTCTCTCCCTCTCTCTCTCTCTGCCTCCCTCTCTCTCTCTCTCTCTCTCTCTCTTTCTCTATCTCTCTCTCTCTCTCTTGGCTTGCGCGCGCCTAAAGGGGGGAGTAAAACGGGGTGACGAGGCTAGCAAGCACACGAGGGGGAGGAGAACAAGGCTGGCGGGGTGGTGGAAGCTCGTTCGCCCGCCTGCCCGACGACCGACCGAGACTCTTACATGTGCGAGCTACCGTTGCCACTCGGGACCAGCGAGTCTTTGCACACCCAAAGCTTTTTACCATCTAAGACCTTCGCAAAGCTCAAACGTCTTCAAATTTCGCAGAACAACACTTTTCTCGAAATATACCAACCTCTATCGGTACTGGTTAATCAAATATTTTCAATATCGTTTTCCTATTGATGTCAAACTCATCATTAATTACTCGCAATAAGATGCAATGTTTAATAGTTTTAGCACGTTTTTTGTTTCGCTAGCGTTTCATGCAGTTCACTGTTCGTTTCATTTTTAAGTCAAAATACTTCGTCCTGGACAAATCAAAATCTCAACGTGATTGAATAATGCGGAGATGTTATCCACAGTATCGATATTCAATTTCAACTTTTGCCTTTAATTTCAAGCAGTTTCCCCCCCTTTTTAAAGAATGATATTTTACAAATGATCAATTGAATTTCATTATTTGAACTCTCTACTGACATTGACGTTGCAAGCCTTATAAATTATTCAGTTCGCTGAATAATCGATCAAGTTCACGAAAATCTAAAATTTACGTATGTTAAATCGTCAAATCAGTCGAGTAGTAGCTGATGTAATGAACTGGAAGCAGTAAGATAAGTTGACTAGATCCAATATTTATTATAAGATTCGAAGAACGAATAGCATGAAAGAACTCATTACATTTTTATATTTAAACGCTAAATCAATGTGCAAAACGCATAGGTTTGAATTAAAAACAGGTTAAAATGAGAAAGAAAAAACGAACATAATAAATAGAGGAACAATTGTAAGAAAAGATTAAAAATAACAAAAAGGAAAGAGTAACAGATAAAGGGTGTTGTTACCCCTGAGAAAGTAAGGAAATAGCGAAAATGAAGTAGGCGGTAAAAGCGACTGGATTAGAAGAAAGAAATGTTGGAAAACTAACGGCAAGTCGACAAAGGTAAGTAAGAAAGATGGCTATAGACGGTGTTTGAGAAAGACGAAAACTAAGGGACGATGAGGGCGCGGAAGCGGGTTATTGGCGCGCAAGCGCTTGCTCGAGCTGGCGAATATTTCACGGGCGTCTCTTCGTCTCTTACAGTAAAACTGTATGTCTGTATAGACTCGAGACTCTTTCTCTTGCTTAACTGTTTATTCATATAAACGTCTATGGTTAAGAGACCTCTTTATCAAATCTTAGATGGCCAAGTAATCGAAAAGGAAAGAAAAACAGAAAAAGAAAAGAGCAAAGAGAGAGAAAATAAGAAAAAGAGAAATGTACTGGCTCGTCCATTTCATTCGACCTAATTTAGTTTTTGCTCAAACTTACATCGTTTGCGCTTTGTTGCGTCTAGTTAAGGGCACACGCGTACGTTAAACAAACTCTTTACCTAGTCAGCTTTTTGCCTCTACTCGAACTCACAACCGCTCATGTCAAGAGCAGCTGTGCTAACTGTTAACCGTCTTCTTTTAAAATTGTTCTTCTTTGTTGGCTAACTAGTTAATTTTCATCGTACTTTTTTTCTCTTTTCATGCTTACGTATTATTTTGTTTTTTAACTGCTCTACCTAATGACTGACAATTGTATTGTTTTTCGACGAGTACTGTTTATGCAGGTCATGCCATGTCACATTATTTCATCTTCAAATTTCGACAGTGAAGAGTAACGCATCTTTTGTAGTGGTTGAAACAAAACCAATGACAGCAGGATCACTTTAACTTAAATGTAAAGAAAATATATAATTTTAGTAACAATCAGAGTATGCTGAAAAAAATTAAAGAACGCATGAAAGGCAAAATTTATCCAAGCAGACCACCTCGTATTGAATTTTCATTGGAAGTTTTGTGAAACGCTTTGGCCGATTTTTTGCACCCGGTTGCCCTCATTTTCGGAGCAGAACTTAATTATTCATATCGCTCAGTGCTGTAACTCTGTGCAGTCTTTTTCCTTTTTATTTCGCTTGAACTTCATAGCCCTACCAAGTCTAACAATATCGATTGCACTAATTAATGCATAGCTTACGTACTACTTATACCTACGTTATTATAATGTGTCAACTAGGCACTGGTTCGAAGATATCCGAGTAAAATGCACTAGTAATGATATACAATGTACAATGACGATGAGAAATAGGTAGACACGTACTCGGTTATGATTGTTACGTTGTTTATGTAGTTGTTTATATCGACATTAAATTGTATCATGAGTTGCGAGTAATGGGGTAAGATATTATCAAAAATCATAGCAGAAATAGAAGAATTGCTACCTACTTTAATTTTGTTTGCTGCAACTTTAATTAAGAAAGGTGAAACTAATATTAGACTATACTTAAACGGGAATAAGTTCGGATTTTGAATTTACGCGTGCTATAGTGATACAGCGCTGTGGTGTTATATTTGTGCTATTGATCAGTGATAGTTCTATCATTTTTAATTGTTCCCGGAGGTCGAATCTACCGTCAAGGTATACTGGTGCTTAATCAACGAAAATGCACGTCGATTTTCAACTTTATGGAATTAATGTTCCGACACTGTAGAGCTTCAATATAAGACAAGACAGACAATTACGTTCTGAATCTTTCTATTGCTTGTGAGTTGTTATCACATCAAAGATACACATAGCAATGAATATAAAGATAATTTTATCTGAAACACACGTTGAAATATTTATAGACACGACGATTTGCAATTAAAGTACAATAAATTAGATTTGCAATTGCATGAGTGAGTACAGCTCACATTGGATGAACTTGCAGATTTGTGTTGGCTAAGTATAGTAATGTTAACTTGTAGAGATAAAAACGTTAAAATCAATAAAATATGAAAAAGAAGTTTAAGCGTGCTTGAGTTTAAGAATTTTTAGCCTAGTGAAAAATCATCATACAGAAGAAATGCGCAAATTACCAACTGAAAATACTTTCTAGTTTCTTATTGCTTATTTGCATAATTATAAATTTCTGTTATCGATTTTTAAAAACTACTTTGTAGCTTAGGTTCGGTTTTTAAAAAATTCAACCAATATTTTTACTGTTTCGCCTATTTTCAAAAAAATAAAAAAAAAACCCTTTCAACATTTATTCTTATTCATTTCAGAAAAGGTTTGTCATAATTCTCCTTCGCATTCATTTTTTGGTAAAAGTTCTGTAAAATCGAGAACTTCCGAACATCTAAATTTTGTTTTATTTTGTTAATTTTCAGAAAAACAAGGAAGAAGCATCCATTATTGATATTATCGATATCCCTGCATAGTTTCATATAAAATAATTAATTATTTCGAAAAATATTTCAATCACGTGATTGGCGAAAACTCAAAACACTTTCTAAACCAATTTTTGGTGAAATAGCTTTATAGCAGCTTCCTATACAAATTTTCCAGGTCATTGTCAAGTTTTAGTGCGATGAGATCATTTCATTCATTAACACACATTAACAAGTGGGGAAAGGTTACTGATCGGTCAATTTTCGGTGTCCGACGTGTATCGTCATTAACTTACTAAGGCCTAAATAAAACCGAGCTTAGATAGATTCAAACAAACTACACCATTCATAGGCAAATTAAAAAAAATACCTTGAAGTTAATTCATCATAAAAAATTATAACGAAAACCTTTATAACACTTTTTCTTTAGAGTTGCTTTTATTAGTGTAAAACGACTGTGAACAATCACATAATATATAGCCAGAGTCACTATGACAATACAGGAAAAACAGAGGGCATTTAGTATTAAACTAACTATACCATTCATAGGCAAATGGAAAAATAATTATCCGCGTTTTTATTATTTACAATTGTTGTCATAAAAATATTAACGGCCGTCCTAAAGATCGCTATTGATAAGCAGTTCCAGAAGAAATTACGGTAAAATATAGTAACTCAAGGTATGTTTAAATTAAACGAATGCAGATGTAATTTGTACAGCGTGCTTATTTATAAACTGTTTATCGGCATGGTGCACGCAGAAGTCGTATGCCAATCAGCCACGTCAAAAAGTCTATTAAATATCGAGTTTCGTTGTATATAGATTTAAGACTTGAGATAAAGGCAAACATCAAATTTTTTATCTCTTCAAAGTCCGGTGGTTTTAAAATCAAGATATATGTTACACGTACGTTTTACGTAATAATTTGAAGTCGTAGAAAGAAAATGTCAATCTATGCTGTAATTTATATTTTTGGGGTTTAATTGGGTTTAATTCATTGACCCATCGGTTTCAGGATGATACTTATCTTCAATCGTATTAATTCTCTTCGTTTATGATTTGTTCCGTCACTATTTTGATTCAATGTCAGTTAGTCTACTAACCGTAGAATAAAATTCTAAAAAAGTTTATTTATTGAATACTATAGTTCGCCGCTGAATGAATAAGCTAAGCATTTTGATAAAAAAGGGAGAATAATGAGTTATAATACATCAATAGAGCGAATTAGTTGTCACATTATACTTAACAAGATGCTACGGAGAAAGGTTTTTATGATATCGTTCTTTATAATATACTCTCGAGAGATTGCTCTTCTCCAGGGTACATTTTGTCTCAGCTTCTTCTGATATTTGATTTGGATACAAAAAGATAGAGTTCTTTTTTAATGTTCAAATTTAGCTTAGAGTTATAGTGGATCGTTCAGTGCTGCGATAAATATTTAATATTTATTACACGATCATTATGAACTCTGAATGAAATTATTAAGGATACATGAGAAAAACAAGTTTTATAGATACGTAATATAAATCTCAAGC